TGAACGTGGCTAGGTGACGGCCAGTCCGGGAGCACGTACAGATCGCCACACGCTGCCCTCCAGGAATAAAGGTATCAACCCAGACATCCTGAATGGCAGCGTTGCTCACCAAGTTTGTCGTGAACGTGGGGAGGTGGAGACCTGACAGAGAACCGGAGGGGACTGCTGGACACGAGAGGACAGTGGAGGCTCGCGCAACTACTGGGCCCCCAGTGGGGTCAGCCAGTGAGACTGGGATAGGTGCTGCGAGTGGTCTGACTATGGTGCAATCACGAAAGAAGCAACGTGACGCGCCTGAGTCAAGTGTGATAGTGTGCAAGGCCTCAGCTGAGGCAGGACCTGTGGCAGTAGACGCACTAGCACCTAGAGCGTCGGGAGAGTCACGACCACCTAGAGCTGCAGCAGACTCACCAGCACCTAGAGCAGCAACAGTCTCACTAGAACCTAGAGCAGCAGCCTCTATAGGACCAGGGACGCATCGCTGAGAAGCACAGTCGCGAGGTCGCTGAGACCACATAAAACCAAAGCCTCCGCCACCTGGACGGGCTCGCTGAATAACCCACTCACGAAGCTGCTGAGGGGTGGGGTTGTCCGAGAGAGGCAGTGACCGCTGCTGTCCACCCCTAGCCGCTCCAACTGCCGTGGTAGTAGGTCCAGCACCTCCAGCACCAGCAGAACCAGCAGCACCTCCAGTACTCCCAGCCGCACCTCCACCAGCAGCGGCAGTAGCACGAGCAGCAGCAGCAGCAGTAGCAGCAGCAGGGCGGCTCGGTGGGGCTGGGCGGCGGCACCTCCAGCACTCCCAGCAGCACCTCCACGAGCAGTAGCAGTAGCAGTAGCAGTAGGAGGGCGGCTCGGGCTGGGCGGCGCGGCTCGGCCTGGGCAGCGCTGCTCGGCAGGGCGCAGCGCAGCAGTAGCAGCGTGTACAGCAGCAACGCGCTGGGCAGCAGGGCGCGCTGGCGTTTTTTTTTTTTTTTTTTTTTTTTTTAATAATAATAATAATAATAATAATAATTATTATTTTATCTAGGGTTGCGGGGCGCGCTGGCGCGCTTAGCAGCGGGGCGCGCTGGCGCACTTCGCGGTGGGGCACGCTGGCGTGCTGGGCTGCGGGGCGTGCTGGCGCGCTGGGCTGCGGGGCGCATTGGCTCGCTAGGCTGTGGGGCGTGCTGGCGTGCTTAGCAGCGGAGCGCGCTGGCGCGCTGGCTTGCGGGGCGCGCTGGCGCGTTTAGAGCTGCGGGGCGCGCAGGGCTGCGGGGCTGCTCATGGTCAGAAGGGGCGCGCAGGGCAGGGGCTGCTCGTGGGCAGCAGTGGCGCGCGGGGCAGAGGCTGCTCGCGGGCAGCAGGGGCGCTCGGGACAGGGGCTGCTCACGGGCAACAGTGGCGCACGGGGCAGGGGCTGCTCTCGGGCAGCAGGGGCGCGCGGGGCAGGAGCTGCTCGCGGGCAGCAGGGGCGCGCGTGACAGCATGGCTATTATTATTATTATTACTTCCCGGTCAACAACGTGTCGACCTCCATCAACCCCTCCTCCCCCACCCCCTCCCTCCCTCTCCAAATCCGTCTTTCCCCCCCGCCCTTCCTCCCCCTTTAATGCATTCTGGAAATTTTGTGAGCACATCTTAAATGGAAAAGGTTCAGTTTGTTTTGATATATGCGATCCTGTACAGGGCCCCTCCCTCATGATCTATTTATGAGTAGGTTAACCATCTGAAGTCCACTTTGGTCGAAGATTCAAATAAGAGCAGCATCTATTAGGTGGCTTGCATTGGCAGAGTTATTTGCACACGCACACACACATACACACACACAAACACACACACACATACATGTCAGAATCAGCAGTAGAAAGTAAGAATGAAGAAAGGAGGAGGTTCACTAGCAAGCAGTTGAGTACATATAGGAAACCCTAGATTGGGCTGTACTCGCTATAGAGTACCCCACTGCAGGCTAGACAAATACAACATTCTGACACACCCCCATAGCCAAAGTGGGGTGTAATCAGCACAATGAGCAGGTATAGCAGGAGTTCACAATAAGAAGCAAAGCTAGAGGTAATCACAGCGGGCAAGTGAGGAGGAGGAGGGACTGTGAGAGGAGAGAAGATGAGAGACGGCGGCTGAAGCTGCAGACACACGGGCAACAGGAGCTGCTGGCACAGTGGCTACCGGGACAGTGCGCCCCGGACTACTGGAGTAACTGGCTCACGGGCTACGACGAGCTACAGGAGCAACGGACCCTCGGGCGACAGGCGCAGCAGACTCTCTGGGCTACCAGGACAGTGCGCCCCGGACTACAGGTGCTGCGGACGACAAGACAGCAACCTCCGCTCAACCTCCTCCAACTGTCCCACACACCCCCCACACACCCACTGCTTCACTCCTAACTCCACTTGCACGTCACCCCCCTAGTACCACTCCTTCGGCTCCCACACACCCACCCCCCTCAGCGGCAGCTGCAGCACTGGGAGACGGAGGAGGAGGAGGAGTAGGGGACGACGCA